CAACCCAGCCTCCCCCGGAACCGCACTGCAGAGCTACGCTAAGGGCAGGCCGGGGACCTGCCGGAGCACACCACGGAAGAGGCAACACGCCCGGGCCGAGCAGCATTTCCTGCACACCCATTTCACCCCAGAGCTCTTTAGAATAAACGCTCAAACCGCTCCCAGGGCCCTGCCGAGCTGCGCTCCGCCCTTCTCCCGCGGGACCGGGCACCTCATGCCCGGGGAACGCCAACCGAGCCGCCGGGAGCACCCAGCGGCCCGAGCCGCCCTGACCTTGCCCGACACCCGGGACACACCGAAGCCCGCGAGGCCGCCCGCGAGAACGGCTTCGACACGGAGGAGGCGAACGAGAAAAAAAGATAGGAAAGAGACAGGCCGGAAAACGACCCTCAGCCCCGCACCCGGCGCCCCGCTCCCACCGCACAGCGCGCACTGAAGTCGCCACTCCGCACTCGGCTCCCGACACCGGCCGGCGTCTGCGGCTCCAGGCCCCGCCCCCCACGCGCTATTGGCTGGCAGCCTCGCCCCGCCTGAGAACTACAGCTCCCAGAGCCCCGCGCGCCCACTGCCAGCCAATCCTGAGCGCCGCTTGACGAGGCGGAGCTTTTGCTCCTTATATGGAGTGAAGTCCTTATATGGACTAGGAGGTGAGGCAGGACGTGACGTCACTCGGGGGCTCCTCCCCTCCCCCCCATCAGCAGTGCTTGCAGGAGGGGCGGCGTGGTCTCATAAGGATCCTTCCATCCCGAGTGCTCTTCTGTGCCGTCCCTTCTGCACTTTTCTGATTGCAGCTCAGCCCTTCTGCTCCATCTTCTTGCATTAAATTCACTTTGATAACAAAGGGACAGAGGGGATCCTGCTTCCTGTGCCCAGCACTGAATGGAGAAGTGGGGGGGGGGGGGACATGGAGGATTTTGCTTTTTTAGGGCAAAATCAAACAGCGCAGAGGTTGCAGCATTGATACACAAAGAAGAGATGTCAGCCCGAGGGACGTGGTGGGCAGGGGTGTCTGGAGTGGCTGCATCACAATGTGGGGCTGCACAGGTTCTGGGTGCTGGAAACCCTGAATCACAGAATGGCCATGGTTGAAAGGGACCTCAAGGATTGTGAATCTCCAAACCCCCTGCCACATGCAGGGACACCATCCTCCCCATTTAACACTAGACCAGGCTGCCCAGAGCCCCATCCAACCTGGCCTTGAACACTTCCAGGGATGGACAGAGCATCCACAGCCTCTCTGGGCAGCTGTTCCAGCACCTCACCACTCTCTCTGTAAAGAACTTAACAGCCAGTGAAACCCATATGGAACACATACATCCCCCTGTGAAAGGCAGGGACGTGGCCATGGGGTCAGGAGCAGCCATGTGTGACCTCAGAGAGGCCTGAGATGTAGGGCAGTGAAGCCGATGCCATCAGTGCTGTCATTACTCTGCCTGCCCCAGGAGTTCAGCAGGGCCATGAGGCAGTGCCTGTGTTCAGCTATGGATTGTCATTATTATTTTTCCCTTAGTATTTACTACATCACTAAGAACAAACAGTATTTGCAAAACCATAGGGATTTGGGGGATGAACTCAGCACACTGTTGCATTCCCAAGAGTGGGTTTTTAAGCTGCTGTTTACAGGAAGCAAAACAGAACATAGTTTTTCAGCAGCTTGTTGGCTTTTTGCTTCAAAAATTATGTTGATGTAAACACACATTCAAAGTCAAATGGAAGTTCTCTAGTGGAAGGCAGGACCCTGCTTTGCCTCCACCTGATTTTTGCCTTTTTACCTTATTTTTATTTTCTAAATTTGAGCTCAGTTTGCCGCCTCCTTACAGTGGGACAGGGATTTTAAAGCCTAAAGACAGCATAGAAATTGTTCCTGATTATGGAAGCAGTGCCTGGAGCTGGAACAAAACTCCCCCTGAATATCCTGAAGATGCCTAAAACCTTCTCCTGAACTCGGAGGCAACTTGGCAAAGAAAAACAGCATAGAAAAGTGCTTTGTGGAGACCCCATTTCTGCAGGCTGGGGCCCCAGAAAGAGCAGACTCCTGCTTTTCCAGGCAGCAAAAAACAAGTAGCTCTGCTAACCCTTTTATTTTTTTTTCATGCTACTGAACGTCCCTAAATGCGCTTTCCATTATTGATAATCTGGTTACATTAATTGCCAAAGCCATTAAGGTTCTGCAGAGTATAAAAGGAAAAAAAGGAATCTGCAATTACCAGCTCCCAAATGGAGTTAAAATCTGGTAATAAATGACAGCGAGGGCTGCTCTTGGCCGTGGCTGTTACAGACACATTTAATTCCCTACGACTCTGAGCTCTGAGCTCAAGGGTAGAAACTCAATTATAAAGCCAAACTCACTTCGTTTTCATTGCTGGGCTAACGAAGCTCCTGTCACCTGGAGCAGCCCCATCAAAGCTTCTGCTTTTCGCTCCCTGCTAATGTACATTGCCCAGACGTGCTCGAGGGCTGTGCACAGGCCTGTGAGGCAGCTAATTGCTGTAATTGACCAGCTAAATGGCTGGTTTGGTTCCCTTTGGAAACCCGAGTCTTAGCCTGGCAGCAGAAACAAGCAGCTTTTGGTCCTGCATGGGCTGTAGGGAAATGCAAGTTTGATGCAAGGGCAGAGCATGGAGGAGGTGTGGGCTGGGAGATGCATAGGTTTTCTCTGAAGAGTGTTTTAAATCAGTAACACCCATATTTTTGGTGCAAAAGACATTTTGGAATAGTGGATAAGGAAGTAACCAACAAAATGTGTCTCAAAGTACCACAGCAACAGCAAGGAGAACACGGAGACCAGGCTGGAGGCAACTCCAGCACCTGAGCAGTGATATTGGACATCTCACTGCAGGATGGTTTCCTGACATTTTCCAGCTGTCAGCACTGGGTTTCCTGTTGGTTGGAGTCTTCTGATGCTGTTTCCATCCTGCTGTGCTTTGGGGTTGGTTTGAGCCCGCGCAATGGTGGCAGCACTGATGTCCCTGTCACCCACACAGTGTCAAGAAGAACCCAAACTGTGGAGGTTCCTTGCTGTGAGGCTTTTATTTATTCATTTATTGGAGGTTTCTGCCCATTCTGTTGTCTTTGCTACTCTTCCATTGTTTAAGAACACGGATGTGGAATAGAATCATACAATTACAGAATCAGTTGAGTTGGAAGGGACCCTTAAAGGCTATCAGTCCAACTTCCCTGCAGTGAACAGGGACACCCACAGCTCCCTCACAGCCCTATCCCCTGACCTCGAGTTTCTTCAGGGACTCCAGGACGTCCAGCTCATACCTCAGTTCTTGAGATTTTACTCCCCAAAAGCTGTGTTGATTTTTTTTCCACACAATCCCCATCTCTGGAGGTACTTAAGAGCATGTAGACATGGAAATATGGGATGTGGTTTGGTGACGGGACTGAGTTGGTCTTGGACTGCAGTGGATGTTCCCAGTAATTAAAGCTTTTACAAAAAAATCTAGAAGGAGCGTGCTGCCACATCTGTGGTTGTGAGGTAGCAAACCCAAGGCCAACGGGGAAAAAGAAATGAGAGGCATGGAGGAGAGAGGTGAAGAAGGAAGGGTTGTGGATGGATGGGGACGAATGCATTGCAGAACAAAGAGAAGACAGGCAGAAGAGGCTGGTTACCTCTAAGCAAGCAACAGGGCTAAGTAATCACAGAATCACAGAACTGTAGGGGTTGGAAGGGACCTCCAGAGATCATGGAGTCCAACCCCCTGCCAAAGCAGGTTCCCTACAGCAGGTCGCACAGGTCGGCATCCAGGCAGGTCTTGAACATCTCCAGAGCAGGAGACTCCACCACCTCCCTGGGCAGCCTGTTCCAGTGCTCCGTCACCTCACTGTACAGAAGTTCTTGTGCACATTGGTGTGGAACTTCCTATGCTGCAGTTTCCAGCTGTTTCCCCTTGTCCTGTCTCCACTCACCACTGAAAACAGTCCGGCCTCGCCATTCTGCCCCCCACACCTTAGATACTTATAGACCTGGATCAAGTCCCCTCTCAGTCTTCTTTTCTCAAGGCTGAACAGACCCAGTTCACTCAGCTTCTTCATAGCAGAGATGCTCCAGGCCCCTCACCATCTTTGTGGCCCTCCGCTGGACTCTTTCCAAGAGATCCCTGTCTTTTTTGTACTGGGGAGCCCAGAACTGGACGCAGTGCTCCAGATGAGGCCTCACCAGGGCAGAGCAGAGGGGGAGGATCACCTCCCTCGACCTGCTGGCCACGCTCTTTTTAATGCACCCCAGGATGCCATTGGCTCTCTTGGCCACAAGGGCAACTGCTGGCTCATGGCCGACCTGTCATCCACCAGGACACCCAGGTCCCTCTGTGCAGAGCTCCCCTCCAGCAGGTCATCCCCCAACCTGTACTGGTGCATGGAATTATTCCTCCCCAGATGCAAGACTCTACACTTGCTTTTGTTAAACCTCATCCGGTTTTTCTTTGCCCAGCTCTGCAGCCTGTCCAGGTCTTGCTGAATGGCAACACAGCCTTCAGGCGTGTCAGCCAATCCTCCCAACTTTGTATCATCAGCAAACTTGCTGAGGGTGGCCACCATCCCCTCATCAAGGTCATTGATGAAGATGTTGAACAAGACCGGACCCAGCACAGACCCCTGAGGAACACCGCTGCTTACAGGCCTCCAGCCAGACTCTGCACCACCAACGACCATCTGTGCTCTGCCAGTCAGCCAGTTCTCAACCCACCTCACTGTCCACTCATCTATCCCACACTTCCTCAGCTTTGTTATAAGGATGTCGTGGGGAACAGCATCAAATGCCTTGCTGAAATCAAGGTAGACTACATCCACTGCTCTCCCCCCATCCACCCAGCCAGAGACAACATCATAGAAGGCTACCAGGTTGGTCAAGCGCGACCTCCCCCTGTTGAACCCGTGCTGACTACTCCTGATAACCTGCCAAGTAAGCCCAGTCTGTCTCGCCTCCTTACAAATCCTAATTCAGTTTTTTTCAGGGGTGGTGTCAGCGCTGCAGTGACTCCAGGAAAGGCAAAATGAAGGCAGGGCGGTCACGCTGAGCTCACGTTTCCTCTTGCACCACTATGAGAGGTTCGTTCCTAGAAGCCTGAGTCAAACTTCTGGCACAATGGGAACTGCCCGCCGTGGAGCAGCGGCTCTCGTAAGCGTGTTTTCTCTTTTGTGCTTGTAGATAATGGAAGAACCTGGAGAGCTTCCTTTGGGCTGGGGTTAATTTCTTGGGAGGATTAATCGCTTCTTTACGCTGCAACATGGGATGTAGTGTGAATGTCTGTGCAGTGCTGTAGGGAGGAGGGATGACACAGCCAGGGGAGAAGCAGCATCTTGGAGAGCTGGAAAAGCCCCAGAAGTGGGGGTGTGGGGTGGCTGCCCCAGTGTGGGTGCAGGGAGTGCTGGAGCTGTTTTGGAGTCTGACTGGATGTCAGAGTGGGTGGAAAATTTTGGCTTCCTCCCATGGACGTGTAGTCCAGAATGCATTCAGCTGCAGATGATTTTTCTCCAAAACATGAAGCAGAAAAAAAGCTCATTCCCAGAAAGTTTTATTCGGTGCTGTTGTGCTGTGCATCCATCTGGCTGCCCTCTGGTGGTCGCCAAAGGAAGGTGAGACAGCAGGAAAACATCACAGCTCTGCTCACACTGAACTTTCTCTCCTTTTCAGCCAGCCTGGGATGGACCCTTCAGCAGTGTCAGACGCGGGATCACAACAGGTATGTCTGTAGCTTCACCTCTTGCAGCTCTGCACTGCAGGGATCCTCAGCACTCTGCTCCAACCCTGCTCTGAGATGCAGGGGCTCCTGCTTCAGGCCCTTCCACGAGGAAGGCCTGGTTCTGGTCCTAGCTGCTTTGGGGATCTTGGTCATGGGTAGGATTGGGGTTAGCACAGCTCGTCCTGGGAACAGCAGCTTCATTTTCTCTTTACTTGGTGATTCAGTTGCGGAGAGCAAGACAGGAGAGGCTGAAGGCAGGGAACTGCACTACACACATGCTTTGGAATTGCTGGAAAAATGGGTCCCAGAGAAAATGAGGGTAGGCTTGGTCATGATGTGTGCCCCAGGGGTGGTGGGGACATCTACAGCCAGTCTGACCTCTGTGACAGCCTTGGTTTGCTGTTAGAGCCTGGAGTCTTGATTATTAAAACCCACTCTGACCTTCATGGTACCAACTGGAGATGTCTCAGGCAGATTTCATCTATCTCCCACCGTAGGAGATTTCATCTCTTCAGTAACAGATATTGCCCTGTTTGGGTGACTTTTGGAAGATGACTTCCTTGTGATGCTCTCGTGGTTGGAGTTCGTTCAGAATCAAACTGTGAAATTAGGAAGTTCTCTCAGTTACTGACCTTTTCCTGAAGTCTGGTCTGTAGCTGTTGGAACCAGTGTGCAGTCCTCAGGCACAGGAGGAGCAACTCTGATGCATAGCCTTGGGCAGGGGCTTCAACCCACCTCTTGTCTCATGCTTTGATTCCTGGAACTGACACAAAGAGGAGACCTGTTGTACCACGAGCAGTTACTTTTTGCTATTTTGTTTCTGAGAGCAGCCCTAAAGCTACAGGCGCTGGTGGCAGGTTCTGCTATGCTGAAAAGCAGGATGTCAGTTTGGATATTAAGTAAAATTTCTTCTCAGAAAGAGTGGTAATGCACCAGCACAGGCTGCCCAGAGAGGTGATGGAATCCCAGTCCCTGGGAAGGGGTAGATATGGTCAGTAGGGTGAGGGTGAGGGTAGGTTGGGGCTGAACTGAGTGATCTGAGTGGTCGTTCCCAACTGGAATGATTCTGTGATTCTATGCTGCTTTCTCAGTAGGAGTCCTGGTGAACACAGAGCAGTACACAGCTGGGTGTGGTGCTAGACTTCACGTAATTTAGGGTAGAAACTTCCTCAAAAGTGCAGTGGTGTCAGAGGGAAGTGGTGAATCAGCTCAGAGGAGACCATGCTTTTCGTGCATGGGAGCAAGGAAACCTGAAGTATGATTTTAAATGTTTGTGTCTATGGCTGTCTTCATGCTGTAGGCAAAGGCCAAAGAGTGTGGGACATGCGGCATGGATTTAAACCTATAAGCTGAAGAAAACATTCCACTTTTGCTCTTCCTGCAATTGGAGTGACATTTTGAAATGCCCTGCTGATCCCCTTCTCTTGTCTTTTGCTCCTAGACAGCCACTTGCCCTGTGCAGCTTCAAAGCTAGCAATAACAACAGCTACAGCCTTGCTGGGTGGCCAAGATTACACTGCCAATTCAAGTGACTACCCCTATGAGTACCTGAATGAGGAAGACTACGTGCTTTATGGCCTTTGCACCAAAGAAGAGGTGGTGTTCTTTGGCAAAGCATTCTTGCCAGCTTTTTACAGCATGTTATTCCTGGTTGGGTTCATTGGGAACGCTCTTCTGTTTACTGTCCTCATGTATGTCAGTAAGCAAAAGAAGACAGCAGAGGTGTATCTGCTGAACCTGGTGGTTTCGGATTTTCTCTTGCTGCTAACCCTTCCTTTCTGGGCCCTGTTCATTTCTCAGTGGGTGACCTGGGATCTGTTGTGCCCAGTCTTAAATGCCATGTACATCATGAATTTTTACAGCGGTATCTTTTTTGTAAGCTGCATGAGTCTGGACACGTATCTGCAGGTAGTTCATGCCTACTCTCCTCACAGCTCTGTGACACGGAAGAAGTCCTTCCTCGTCTTGTTGGTGTTGTGGGTCCTCTCCATACTCCTCTCCATTCCCGATGCCCTCTTCAGCAGCACGAAGGAAATGCACAACAAAACCATCATGTGCACGCATGATTACGGCCAGAAACACTTCTTTTGGAAAGTTGTCTTTCAGGTCACTCAAAACATCCTGGGTTTCCTTTTGCCTTTCTTCTTCATGGTGTTCTGCTATTCCCGCAGCGTGTGTGTCCTCACCACGTCTCGGGTGCCTGGCTTGAGGAGAGCACTGTTCTTTGTCTTTACTCTGGTGGCTGTCTTCTTTATCCTGTGGTTCCCTTACAACATTGTCCTCGTCCTTCACTCCTTGCAGTACGTTGGTTTGATCCAGAGCTGTGAGAGGAGTAGGCAACTGGACTATGCCATGCAGATCACAGAGAGCTTGTCCTTTGTCCACTGCTGCCTCAACCCTGTGCTCTACGCTTTTATGAAGAAACGATTCAGGTTGTACCTACAGAAGATCCCTCAGGCTTTCTGTAGGAAGGGCACCTTCGACATCCAGCTCTCAGAAACAAGCTGCTCTTGCAGCAGATACACCGCTCAGATAGAAATGTTGAGCGTCACCAACACATGATAAATTCTTTCTGGCTTTTGCCACGGGGCAATGTGCTCAGCCAGGCTCACCCCTTAGCCTACCAGGAGAGACAACAGGAAGAACAGGCAGTTTTAAGTGGGTCTGAACCACACTGAAGCGTACTGAGCAGGACACTGTGTTTACCCAAGGGATGGATCCTTGGTCTGAAATCAGTTTGATCATCACAGCACCAGAATTCAGACCAGTAACTATCAGTAAGAGAGAGAGAAAAAGTAAAACACAAAATGAAAAAGCTCAACAGAGACCATCATTAACAGACATCAGTTTAACCTCTCTACAGAGTGGCAGCATGGCCTTAAACAGAAGAGCATGGATAGCTATTAGCCAATTCTTATGACTGATGTGGTTTTACAGTTCAAGGTTACTAGTTTGTTGATCTTTATTTAAAAGGTGCTGTTCACCCCAAATGTTTTTGAACTTTAGCTGGGCTTTTTCCAGCCTAGAAATCAATTCAGCATATAAATTGGCTAGAACTGTGCAAATAAAGTTTATACCTTCAGAGCACATACTCATCACCTTCTTGATGTTATTGCTAGACAGTGTTACTGATAGAACTGAGAAGGGTTTTCAGTTGAACAAAAAACATGCATTTGTTTTCACTGCCATTATTGCCATCATCACTGCTGTGTGTTTCCAAAATGGCAAAGCTAGGAGCTTCACTTAAAAAAACACCAAAGCAAATATGAAGGTGATGCTACGCTGTGATCTTTGCTACATGGGTCAGGTCTGCGGCAGGGGTGTGGAAGGGAAGAACAGCTGGGAAACAAATCTGAGATAGATAGAGATCTTCATCTCCTGATCTACCCAGGGAGGGCCCTTGGGACTGTAAAGAGCTTTTGATGGGATGCTTAGGGGAAGAGGTGAAGGTAAAGAAAACAAGGGGTGAACTGGGGAGGAACGAGGGTGGGAAAATAGGGGGCGGGTGGAAGCAGCTTGCCCTGTGCATGGTCATCTCCTTACTAAATCCTTTTCCTTAACTCTCTCACCACGTAATGCCCCTTTATCTCACTCAATGCTGCTGCAAGGTCCGCATGCCAGCAGCTGGATGCCCAGTAGTGCTGCACTGGGCACAAGGGACAAGGTTCCTGGGGTCCCCCCCACCCCAACGGGAGACAGTGAGGACCAGAAGGCAACATGAGTGGAGCTGTTGCAGACCTTTCCTTCTCTTGGCATTTGAGACCAATGTAGCTCCACTCTGTCTCCGGCTTGATCCCAATTCCAGCAGCACTTCAAACATCTGTTCCTCCTCTCTTCTTTCCAGCCTGCACTACATATCTGTAGCTGAGTGTTAAATGCAGAAATTGCTGAGGGGAATTCTCCAAAGACCCTTTTTCAAAACAGTGCAGCCCAGAAAAGAGGTTTGGCTTATACTGCTGCAGAGCTCACGCTTACACCCATCCACTTTATGCAGCAGCCTGTTGACTGCAGTGGACTCTAACGTACCTTTCACTTTAAAAATCTCTGTGTGTCAGCCAAGAAAGATGTCCTCACTCCAAATTGGAAAAGCAAATAATTGCTGCCAATTGGGGCAGATGCTGTCAGCTCTGCACCTGCGTATCAGCTGCTGATCGGAAATAAAAGGCACTTCCCTCACTCTGGGTCAAACCCCCAGCCAGGAGAAGGGCTCAGATGGCATTCTGGACAGTTTTCCTCTGTACCTTGGTGGTATTGCTGCTTGGGGGGCTCTACCACCTGGGGGCCTTTCGGAGACGAAGACCCAATGAGCCGCCTCTGGACAAAGGCATCATTCCCTGGCTGGGTTATGCACTGGATTTCAGAAAGGACAGTTCAGCGTTTCTAAGTAAGATGCAGAGAAAATATGGAGATATTTTCACAGTGCTGATCGGAGGCTATTACTTTACCTTTGTGATGGACCCCTTCTGCTTTGGAGCCATTGTGAAGGAATCACGGTCTAAACTAGACTTTCTGACCTTTTCAGCTAACTTGGTCTACCGGGTTTTTGGCTACAAGTCCAAGACGAACAACAATAGTGCTCTGCATGTTTTTAACACAAAGTATCTGATGGGAGATGGACTCACTCTCCTGACACAAGCCACCATGGACAACTTCCAGAAGCTGTTGTTTTTCAAGCTGAGCTCAGGAGAGGAGAAGCGACCATGGCAAGAGGCCGGCCTCTTCCACTACTGCTACAACATCGTCTTCAGAGCTGGGTACCTGGCTTTGTTCGGCACCGAGTCGTACCAAGGGACAGGGAACAAGGAGAAAGCTTACGAGCAAGATCTCATCCACTCCAACCAGCTGTACACCGAGTTTCGGAAGTACGACCGCCTCTTCCCCCGCCTGGTCTATGCCGTGTTGCCTCCCAAGGACAAAGTAGAAGCTGAGAGGTTGAAGAGGTTCTTCTGGGATGCTCTGTCCGTGAGTAAGAGCTCTCGGAAGGAAAACGTCAGTAGGTGGATAAGTGAACAAGACAAGTTTTTGGCAGAAATTGGCATGCCTGACTACATGCGGGACCGCTTCAAGTTCATGATGCTGTGGGCATCCCAGGGCAATACAGGCGCTACTTCCTTCTGGCTCCTCTTGTATCTCATGAAGGATCCAGAAGCTATGAAGGCTGTAAAGGAAGAAGTAGAGAAAGTCTTGAGGGAGCACGGTCAAGAAGTGAAGCCAGGAAGCCCACCAATTAACATCACCAGAGACATGTTAGCCCAGACTCCTTTTCTGGACAGTGCCGTGGAGGAGACCCTGAGGCTGATGGCAGCCCCAATCCTGATCAGAGCCATCCTCCAGGATATGACCCTCAAAACGAGTGGTGGCACAGAGTACAGTCTGCGCAAAGGGGACCGAGTGGCTCTGTTCCCACACCTCTCTGTGCAGATGAATCCAGAAATCCACCCTGAACCTCACAAATTTAAGCATGACCGCTTTGTCAACCCGGACGGCACCAAGAAAAATTTTTACAAGAATGGCAAACGGCTGAAATACTTCAACATGCCCTGGGGGGCCGGTGTATCCATGTGTCCTGGGCGGTTCTTTGCTACAGAAGAAGTTAAATTGTTTGTGTTCTTGATGCTGACTCACTATGACCTGGAGCTGGTCAACGACCAAGAGGAGATCCCAGACATAGATTTGAGCCGCTGGGGATTTGGAACCATGCAGCCTGTTCACGACGTTCAGTTCAGATACCGACTACGTGTTTGAAAAAGCTGTGGTGTTCTGCTTGTCCAGATGTTGCTATGAAATAAACCGCCCGAGCTGGTGGCTGCTGGATCCGTGTGGAGCCAATGCCAGTATGTTCTTCTTTGCTTAACAGCATGGTGGCTTTTCTCTTCGTCTTCTTTGCATGTAGCACAGCCCTGCATCACCCCTTACCCTGTCTGGGTAGGGCAATAGAAGCTCATCTGCACACCCACAGGGGAGCCCAGAGATACAATGGTGAGGTGGAGGGCCCCAAGTAATGCCCTGCTGGGTTACTCCCAGCTCTTCACAATGGCTACCAGCCTGTCAGAAACCAACTTGTACATGCCAAGAGGAGAATGAGGATGTAACAGTAGGTTAATTAAGGACAACTGGGAACCCAGATAAAGGATGAATGCCTCAGCTGGGTCTCTTTGTGTCTGTCCCACCAGAGCAGCAACCCCACAGCCCAGGCATGAGGCCTACTGAGATTAGTCACAGGGATTGGGATTAAGGGGTGAGGCATTTTGTGGGGCACAGAGGAGAGGCAGGTGGGGATTGTAACAGGTTTATGGTGGGATGCTTGAGGAACGAACCAAAATGGAGAAAAGGAGGGATTTAGGTGATGCAGGGAGGAAAGTAGAGTTATAAAGAGTTAAAAATGTGCAGGTGTGTGCAAATAGTCAGCTCACCCATACACGTGCCTTTCCACACTGTGCCCAATCTTTCCTTAAGAATTGCCTTTCTGTGAGTGGAGAGCTGGGGTCTGGTGTGCAAACCTGGTTCCTGATGTCCTCCCAGCCTTTCCTTGAGGCTCATGTACTGGCATTGTTCCCATCTAATGCATGCTGGGGGTACCTCTTCCCTTCTCTTTTTTTTTTTTCTTCCTTCAGCAGCCAAGGGAACATCAGTCCCCACAGGAGTTAAGTCACAGCACAGTGAACCAACTTGCTGCAGACACCGTCTTTGGAGGTTTTCATAGAATGGCTTAGGTTCACATCCCTCCTGTGCTGGGGATCTGGATGCAGTGCTCCAGGTGGGACCTCACAAGGGCAGAGCAGAAGGAGACAGTCACCTTCCTGCTCACTGTTGTCCCTCTGTTGATGCAGACCAGGATGCAGTTGCCCTTCCAGGCTGCAAGAACACACTGCTGGCTCCAGAATCCCCAAGCCTTCTCCGCACGGCTGCTCTCTGTGAGCGCTTCTCCCATCTGCACTCATATCTGGGACTGCCCCAACCCAGGTGCAGCACCCTGCATTTGGCCTTGTTCAACCTCATTAGGTTCTTGTGTGCCCACTTCTTGAGTTTGCCAAGGTCCCTCTGTTATGTACAATCAAGGTCCAGAACTCAAATGTTTTATTATGTCTCAAAACATCAAAGCCAGATTCTGCTTTCTGTTGTGAAGGACGGGGCTATGTTATAACTGCAGCAACTGAACAACTGTTGTAACTTCTCCTGGTGAAGGCAGAGCTGTCCTAGGAAAAAAATAATCTGCATTTTAGTGCTTTGCTGTACTCTAATCGGTGTGTGTGTGTTTTGTTACAGCTTGTAATGACCTCAGATCAGAGATGAGAGTGGGTTCTGAACAAACATGGACTGGGTTTGGGAAAGAGAGAGAAAAACGATGAGAATGGCAACGATTCAGCAAAAATATCTGGTTTTAATTCCTTGTCAGAATAGATAATTTAACAAAACAATATTGAGTCCATAAAAGACTTCAGACATGCTCAAACGCATGCAAGTATGAGAAGCAAAAATCACTTAATTTGAGGAATAGTGTAAAAGCTCCAAACGGGTAAATCTGCAATTAAAGTTTATGCTTGGATGGGTTGTCCACAGAGCAGTCCATCCCAAAGCGTAGCAGTAAGAGGAAAAACCAGACTGTGCCAACAGATACCTTATGGGTCCTGAAAGGTTCATAGACCACACCTCATCGCGCTGTCTTCCATAACTCCTTGAAACCCAAGAGAACCGAGCATGAAATCTGGCCCTAAGACCTTGCTTGTCTCTTCTCCAATGCACTGTGAAGAAAGCATGACCTTAATATTCAAAGATGTGCAGTCTGACAAATCAGTGTCTGCTCTGCACAGCACAGTGGGAACAGCTTTGCTCCCAGCTTGCTCCGCACACAATGCAGGAGGAGCAATCAGGGTGCTACAAGCTTCAGGTCTGTGGCAACATGGGTTAAATATGTTGGAAAAGATCCCCACTGGCTGAACAACATCATGTCTAGCATTGAACTGTAACATAGTAGGAACTGATTTCCCATCCTTGACCCTCTGAACACAGTGAGGTGTGGCTTGAGGAAAGGCTGTGCTTAAATGCTGCATGTAGGGAAAGCTCAAGAAACCCAACTGCACCCATAAATGCATCACTCACATCAGAGAAACCCAAAGGAACACAGAGGTTATAGATACAAAGCAACGACACAGCGAACACCATCCGTCCTCAGCAGATCTTGAAGGACTGCAGCGTTCAGGATGCCCTGGGCTTTCCTGAAGAATCTGAAGACAAACTGATGCAGATGCAGTGGGGCAGGTGAGGGGTTGTTGTGAAGTCCTGTGTGATGGGTAAACCAGTCATCTAGTTCTAATGGGAGATTTCAAATACACATGCCCCCCCCCAAAAAAAGTGTTGTGGTGTCTACAGACCACGAACCCCTTGAGGAACATGACCAGCTCTGCAGCAACAGCAGTGGAAGTGCCCACGGAGAGCATGTAGGCCCTATGACAGGTGGTTAACTTGAGCCCCAGGGAGAGCAGGCTACAGCTTTGTGAGGATTCGGGTAGGACAGATGTGCAATTTATCAGTGACTGGAAAGCCCCAGTGCTTTTTCCATCCCTGCACTCACCCTGTGCTACAAGTGCAATGTGCTGAGCCTGACCAATGGATGTCACCAGGGTCCCGTTGCCCAACCCTGTGTCTGACACAAGGCAAAGACATCATGGGACACATCACAAACATGGCAACACAGCACACATCTCGTGCGGAGGGACTCACAAGGTCTCTGGTTCAACCCCCTGCTCACACTGAGCTGCTCAGGGCTTTTATCCAGTTGGATCTGTACATCCAAAGCTGTAGGATATGTTGCTGCCTGGCATCAGCCCCTGGAAGCACTGTTTCCCCACAGTGAATCTTCCTGACTTGTTTTCTGTTTCCCCACTCCTGCTATCACCTCCTTGGAGCTCTTTTTGTATCAGAGTTGTTTTCCCTTTATAATTGTTTTCCATTTCCTTTGGGATTTCACAGAATCACAGATCTGTAGGCATTGCAAGGAACCACTGCAGCCCATCAAATTCAACCCCAGGAGGCAGGCAAGAAGCCCACCAGTCTCTCAGTCCTTGTAGCAATGGGATAAGCGATCCAGTAGCATCTGAAAGTGCATGGTGCTGGCATCCTGGGGACAGGCCAGAAGTCAATAGCCAGTGTTTGCACACTGACTTCAGGGAAGATTTGCTAAGCTGCTCAGGGCTAGCAGCTAGTCCCATTCAGAAGGGGCTCTGCAAACCTTTCCTGCCTGTTCCTGGAAGCGCAGAGCCAATTCACCCAAGTACTGTCAAGTTACCACCTGTCAGCTGAGCCACGTTAACTGCATTTCAGCTCTTACCAGGTGGCAGTGCGTTCATTTGCTTAGCTGGGCTGAATTGCATTTAGGAAGAACAGAGTCAGCTCAGGTCAGCTGATGCGCAGTAACTCGACAGAACAGTTTGCTACCAAACACAGAGCAGAAGGGGAGATGATCCGTGCCTATCTCCACATCCCCTTCACTGTGCAATCATGAGGCCGTACTTGGAGCACAGCAGACCCCTTTTCTTTTCCCGGTCAGTGAGGAAATTTCTCAGTTTGGTGGTGGGGAAGGTAACCAGCGCTTGCTGCCTGTTGTCCAAACCTGTCTCCTGGAGCCACGGGCTCTGAAGGCACTCGGAGGCTGATGGTCTTCCCCTGGGACAAAGGGGAGAAGGTCGGTTGGGTTTTCTCTCCCAGATCCCAAATGGGAGAGGAAAAAGGGGGGCAGGAGCCGGGATTTGCACAAACTGCCAGGGGAGCCGACGCTGCCTTACCAGGGGTTTGCACACAGGGTGCTCTGGAGAAATGACACTGCTCCTCCGGAGAGACCCGCGTAGCACCGCGTCAGCTTCACCTTCCCCTTCCTGGTGGTTCTCAGGAACTCGCAGGGCACATCAGAGCTGACTGGATAGGTGGCGCTCAGCCTAGCCCGAAACAATAGCATTGTCAGCACAAAGGGCATCGCTTGAGATGCTCCTTCCCCTGGGAACTCCCATCCCATCATGGCAGTGCAAAGAAACATCACATGGAAAACAGAATCCCAAAGAGCAATGTTCTTCAGTGGGCTCCATGACGTCAGCTGCTTTTCTGCTTGGTGAAATTTGAATTTTCTTGTTCAAGTGGGGGCTTTTCAGACAAGGCTGAGTAAGAAACACAGCAGCTGCTGGGCTGCAAAACCACCTCCTTGTTCCACTTGGAGATGTGGCTGGGACTGAGCATCCTTGTACAGTGCAGCCAGCTCCACAGCCTCTGCCACATGTCTTTGGTGGCACTGCCCAAGGGAGAGGCTACTACTGATGTTAATATCTGAGTGGGTACAGCTCCCTTTTTTGATGACTTGGAAATGGCACTTTTAAAGCCAGGGCTATGGAAGGACAGGCTGACTTACATGATGAATGCCGTGATTCCAATGGACCAGATATCAGTCTGTGGGAGGGCTCCTTGCTCTGTCAGCAGTTCTGGAGCTAGAAAAGCAAATGGGTGTGAGCCAAGCTCCCCTCCGATGCTACAGCACCAAAGCCAGCACTTAGCACTTTTATGTTTTGCTACCTTCCTGAGGATGGAGAAAATCTTTCTGGTACAGGGAGGTTGGCTAATCTCAGTCATGGCCGAAACAAAACCTTGAGAACATCAAAACAATGGGGCTTGCTGGCACAAACACTACAACCTTGAACACAGGACACATGGACACCAGCCAGAACACCACTGGTCATGACTTCTGGCTCTGTCCTCCATGGTGGCCTGGGAACTGCTGTCACACCACCCATGCCCATCAGCTCACTGTGAAACTTCTTGCTGGGGTCACCTGCACTCTCAGTGCCTTGCCCACTGGCTCAGCCTATCTGTTTACTGCATATTGCATACAACATCAGGGTTGCTGTGAATAAAGTCTACTCACCCATGGTTTCAACATAATCCATGCATTTGTCCAGGGTAATGACCTTGTCTTGTGTGTAAAACTGTGCATTGCCAAAATCCAGGAGCTTCAGCAGGTTGGGCTCAGTGATGATCATGTTTTCAGACCTGAGATCCAAGTGCAAGATGCTGTGTGCGTGGAGGTACTCAACTGCACTGAGGATCTGCCACAGGTAATCTCGGACCTCCACCTCTGAGTATGACGTCCTGGTAGAAGAAAGTGGTAGAAACCAGAGGTGTCGTATCTGCCTGCCCAACCTGCCTAACCCTAACCCTAACCCTAACCCTAACCCTAACCCTAACCCTAA